AAGTTCACGTACATACACCCCCCGGATCTCCTACGTCCGGGAGCACCTCGCGGATTTCGCACAGCTTTCGCTCCGTCTGTTTCCTGTGATGGTAAACTACATTTCGACAATTGTTACGTTCGCCTCGCTTGATTGGACGCTCGACAACACATGACGACACATTTCACCTTCAAATCTGACGTCCATGAAACCATCCTCTCCACCGTGGCATGAAAGAAAAAGAAAAAAGAAAACTCATTCGGTGCGGCAAAAATCGGATCGCAACCCATTCACATTCCTCGCAGAAAGATCCGAAATACTTGAATAACATGCAGCATGGCAAGAAGAAAGTTCTGCTTCATGGTTCAGAGCATGATGCAATGCACGACACTCTTGCTGCACCACCCGTTGTGGCTGTTGCAGATGATCACACAAAGACTCCCACGCCAATTACCCGTCATCCGACGCCGCTCCAATAATAGATCACTGCTGCTGCCGCCGCCTCCGCTGATCTCCTTGCCTCATTGCCACGAACACCGTTACGGCACAAGACTAATAAATCCCGCCTCACAAGACGGAATTTTGACGATTACAAAAATATTTTTGATTATGAAAAGCATATTAATTAATTCACTAAAACATTAAAATAGGTAAATAAAATCGTACTTGAACGATGGCCCAACAACCATGGCATGGTCTTTTTGAACTTAAGACATGATCTTTTAAGTTATGTTAGTTAAGTTAAGGATAAATTAATTTTTAAAAAAAATTATTTGAAAAGTGTTGTAATTTCTAAAATGTTTATCGAAGAATATTAGTTGATTTTTTGATCTATTATTTAATGGCTAAAATTTTCATCATTTATCAAGGAAATAATAATATATGAAATGCTTATTGTTTAAACATATGATTAGATATTCATGTATAAATATGTGTTAGTGTGTATATGTGTAGATGAATATGTTCTTCTTCTTAGACCTTCTTGCTACAACTATTATCGAAATAATAAAATTTCAAATGATTTATAAAATTTATAGTTATCAAGAAATATAAAATATATTTTAATATGATAAAATAACATAATAATGTATAGTAATATATACATGTTGTCTTAATAGTACGATTGATTTTTTTTGTTAAACATATCGAATACAGAATTTCGTTAAAAGATCGTCTTTCTATGATTAATCATTTTTAAAATTTTAATTAAATTTTCTTATGTTTAAATTATATACAAAATAAATCAAATATAATTTAACTCATATTTTTATATATTTTAAATAGCACGAGTAAAAAAATTATTTTAAACCTATTTAAATAGTGAGTATTGTTCATCAAAATTACAAAATATATAATTTTTAATTTTTAATACAAATTTTATAATGTATTTAATAATTTTATTTAATTATAAAGAACTATTGTGATTTGTTATGTAAAGAGTGGTATTTGATATTAGAAAATTATTTTGATTATTTAAAAGCATATAATTGTTTTAATAAAAAAATGAATAGGATTATAAATATATTTATTTATATTTATAAATTTACATTGCATTTGTGGCTAAGAGTAAAAAAAAATAATAACTACTTATGTTTATAATTTAATATTAATTATAATAGTTACTAAGTTATTATAATATATATTAAATTCTAATATATTATATAATTTTTTAAAAAATTAAAAAATATCCTAATTTTATTATTATGTGGAGTGCTAAACAAAACTTTCAAAAAATATGGGATTATTTTTGTTAATTTTATTATGCTTAGGAGACTAGTTTTATATTAGATTTCATAAGATCAATTATAAAATCATAAATTCTTTATCATTTAGTCTATTATTTGTTCATTCTTATAAGATCACACTTTTATCAATCTACTAAAAAAAATCATTTAATAATAAAATAGTAAATTATTTAAGTAGCCAACAAACATAAATTATTGCTTTATAAACAATTGTTTCTATTTTATTTTTTTGTGTTTATATTTTTTTGTTTCTTTTTTTGGTAAAGAATTTCTACATGTAGTCTTGAAGTGTGTTAATACCAAACATAATGCTTGCTTGTATCTTTATCATTGTATATAAACTTTTGTAATAACTTATACAATTTGTTTTTAATAAAAAGATTTTTTTTATTTCAAATTTTCTTGCTAGTCTTCATCTTTGTCTTTGTCATATATATCTTATTTTTTATTTATAAAGATATCTAGTTTTTTGTTACAAACCATCTTATTGTAATGGATGCATACTTAATTGAATAAAACTAAATAGAAGTAAGTAGTAATAGATAGAATATTTTAAGCATATGTTATCTTTCTTAAGAAACTTCAAATAAGATTTTAGATGTGAATTGGCTTTTTAGAGTCCTATAAATATATTATGTGACTATTGAAAAAAATTCCATAAGTTTTTTAGTTTTAGAAAGCCGCATTGGAAGTTACCAACCTACAACTTGATACTTAGACCATAAGGCTTGTGGTCTTTAGAAAGCTTCTACAAGGCTTTTTAGATAGCTAGTATATACAAAGACAAGATTTAGGATATTCTTAGTCTTATATATATATATATATATATATAAAAAAAATTAAATTCTAATCTTAATTCAAGACTCTCTAGCTTCTTTGTATTTTAGATAATTTCTATCTTGTATATGTATATTTTTTTTCTTATTTTTTTCCTTCTTTAATAATATATGAGTGTATTGTCTTTTGACCTTTATTTAAATTCATGTCTTTGACACTTATTTGTAAAGGATTTATATATGGATAAAATCTCTAGAAAATAAATAAATAATAAAATATTATCTTTCAACAGTATATATATTATGCAAAAGAAAGAATGTGTAATAAATGCAAAAATATCCCAAATATTAGTTTGAAATAAATTGCAAAACAGACAAAACTAAGTCTAACTTAGCCAAGACTTTAGTTTTAAAAACTAAAGCTATGATCTTTATATGAAAGAATAAATATAAAATAATATTATAAAATAATTTAAAAGATAAGTATTAATGTATGGTAATGCATATAAACCTTAGTATTATTCAAACCAATTTGATATTATAATAAAAATATAAAATAAATAAATAAATAATAATGAATCATATTTTAAGCAAAGCTAAAAAATTTAGAAGTTAAATAAATATTTCAAACAAATATGTCTTTAGCACTATAAAAACTAGCTTGAATTTTTTAAAGGGATTCAAGACTAATTATACAATATTATTATCTACATTGTTACATATAGACTTTAGTAAATTTTAAATATAAAATTAGAATTAATAAAATTAGCTTAAATATTTATAAGAAATTTAAGGCTAATTTTATAATACCTCTATAATGGATTGTAAAGCTTTGTTATATATGAAGAAGTTGTGTAAATGGGTATGGCTATAATTTCTATAATAATATCCAATACTATGTACAAAATAAATCAATATGCCATCCTTGATATTTATAATATGGAAAAAGTTATAATATTTTATTTAATAAATTCAAAGATAAATATATAATTTAATAAATAAATTATATAATAAAATCTAGTTGATTGATTAATTTATCCATTTATTCATTTATCCATTTAAAAATGCTAAAAGAATCAAGATTCAAAATCTATATTTAAATTTTATATTTTATAGTTATTATAGAAAATAATTTATCTCATATTATTAAATACCTTCAACTTACTAATGTTGAAGTTCTCTTCTTATTTAATGGTATGTCCAAAATTCAACCTATGGATGCATGAATCATTTTATATTTAAAAGAATATTATAAAAGCTTTTTGTTACAATATGCAATTGATATTAAAAAACAAGACACAATGACATTTATAATATCAACTAGCTACAAACAATAAGATGGGTTTAAAGAGTGTAAAATGATATTTTTAAACTAATGATTGAATTATTAATGAAATATAATATATGCTTTTTCTCTAAGTAATGACAAGAAACATGCTCTTGATTATGAAATAAATAGCATCTGTTACAATGCATTCTTTAATCATTTTTATTTATTTAAAAATAGTAAGAAGAAAACATTATATTCCAAAATAGCTACTCTTTGGGCCAATATCTAAGTTTATTGAGAATTTTCTCAATTTGGATATGCAAAAAAGTTCACAAAGAACACAAACATTAAAATGCAATAGAGTTCTCTATACATATATAAATAAATAAAGAAGAAAATTTTCATGCTTGACATAAATTGAGTTTAAAAGCTCAAACTCCAACATAAGAAAAGCAATTTGAATTGTTGCCAAGCACCTAGATGAGAGTGGACCCATCATTAAAGTATTCAGAAGATTTCAAAGCTAAATGTGAGACAAAACACAAAGTCAAAAGAACAAAAAATTGGTTTATTGACTCCTGAATTTTTTAGGTCTACGAAGAGAAAAATTTCTGTCAATTACTGTAAATATTATATTAAAAAGATATGCTATTGAAAAAGAATATATTGTTTCATATTTTCTACTCGGTTGTTGAATTTATTGGTTATTATTGAAGAAGTGAGGCAGTGGACCAAATATGCATGGCGTTTCACAGGATATTGGTTTTTATTGAATCAGTATTGATAGTGATGACTATAATGCATTCATTTTTTTATGCTGAAACACATTATCACAGAAAATCTTGCATTAAGGTGGTTGTGGGTATAGTTGCTCATTGTGCCCTCATAAATGATGCCATCAATTTCTGCTAAATACCACAAGTATAACTGGTACATACAATCACACATTATGAGTTGTATTCATACAATCCACTGTATTACTTCTAATATTACATACAACCTATTGTATATTTGATACTTCAAATTATATGTACTAGTATTAATCCCTTCAAAGATGGTTTTCATTTAATTCGAATCTGCATAGAAGATTGGGAGCTTGGGAACCTCGTGAACAGCGCGGAAAGGAGGGAAGTCAGACCTAGTCCGCATTCATCGGGAGAGCCACCCCCCCGCCCGGGCCGTCCCCGTCCTGGCTTCATCGTCGTGGCTGCTTCTTCCCTGGTTCCTCCTCCTCCTTGGTTGAGATATGAAACCCTCACCTGCTCTACTTCCAGGCTCCTCGTTATGCGTATTTGCACCAGGTTTGGGTTGATTCTGCGTTCATTTGCTGCCTTCGATGTGCTTTCCAACTAGCAGATCCCCTTCCCTCGCTCAGGCTGATTCTGCGATAGTTTGACAACGCGCGTGAGCTCGTTGCTGGAACAAGAATGCGAGTGTGCGAGGAGTGTTAAGCACGAAAGAGGAGTGGATTAAGAGGGGCGAGAAGGGAAGGGCAAACAAAAACAAGGCTTAGTGACTAGCATGAAACAGGAGGTTGCGAAGTAGTGGTGCAGTTCGCGCTAGCGATCGTCGAGAGAGACAATGAGTGTGATCAACTCTTCGCATCGGGAGGAGAGTGTGCCCGCCTGGGGAGGTGGGGTGAGGTGTGTATTTTTATTTGATTTTTTTTATTGACTTTGTTTGCTGTTGGTTGGCGGAGATCAGCATATTTTTATTATTTTTGTGATGGCGATTTTGATCGGGTTTGTGCCCGTGTCTTTCGGTCTGGCTTCTTTACAATACGAAGGATGTTCAGTTAGAATGACCACGGTCTAGCATAGAAATTGAGGAAATCACTTCGTTAAGGATTTAAGTACATAATGAGAGTATGAGCATCCGTTTTGAAAAGTTGATCCGCAGCAGGTTTACTCTCGATGGTGCTCTGATTAAATTGCGGTAGGTATGGGATCTATTTGTATATGGACTTGCCAATGTTGCCTCGTCGCACCGGACTGAGCTAGGACTTTGCTAGCTTTACACGCTGCGTAGTTTTTTGCAAAAGTTATGTGTCTTTGTCATGGTGTGAAAGAAGGTAGTGTTTATCCACGTGTAACGCTTGAGCTATTTCACGATTCTGTGCTGATTACTGGTGTCGGTGCCGCCATTGCTGTTATCGCTATCGAGGATTTACCTAACAGTGCCGAAACTCGAGTTCTTCACAGAACGTTTGATATAATATACAGCTGCAGTCTGCACTTGTGGCTTATCTATTGACTTAGAAGTGACAAGTTTACTGTGTCCAACCACTTTCTACCTCAGTTTTCTGCCTGATCATTCTCATTTATGAGTGGACTTATTCACGAGGTTCAACTTTTGTAAACGTTTCTATTGTAACTGTGTCTTGTTATCCTTTTGGACATGCTAGTTGCACCACATTTTAAGTGCATACTATGCACTGAAGTTCAAATCTCATTATCTGAGGGATGCCGTACTATCCGTTGGAAATTAGTTTTGCATTACGTCAGGCAAGTATTCGAGGAGAGATTTTGAACAACCCGTTAGTGATCATCAGCAGGATTTTATTTGCTTCAAAATTGTACCAAACTTTTACGAACTGCAATTTAAACCTGGGTGTCAACGTGTGTATGAGTTGAGAGTATCAGGATTGTAATGTACAACTGTGCTGTATGGCACATGGATTTAGTAGAATGTATGCATTCTGTGCAGTGAAAACAACAGGTTCAGCTATGGCTATTCAAGCTCACGTGGGAAGAGGGCCTCGATGGAAGATTTCCATGATACTCTAATATCTAAGGTTGAAGGTGTAATGGTTGGATTATTCGGCGTTTTTGATGGTAAGTTGCCCTTAGCTGTCGAGCAGCTAGATTTCATCGTGTAACGCTTGAGCTATTTCGCTACTGTGCACTGATTACAATATCGAGCTTGTACGTGTGGCTTCTGCGACTTCATTGCATGGATAATGGACTTCCGTCGATAGCCTATGTTCTATAGTTTGAACTTCGATTGTCCTGCTATTCTATTTACATGATGTCCCTGATGTTTATAGCTATTCCTTTAATGTATTTTGGTAGGACATGGTGGCTCCCGAGCAGCAGTATACGTGAAGCAAAACCTCTTCAAGAATTTGCTAGGGCATCCTCAATTTGTAACTGACACCAACCTCGCAATTGGTATGTAATGGTTAGCACCTTGAGAGCCACTGCTATTATTTTTGACAGTATTTTTGTACAGAAGTTTTAGTGCATTATTACCAAATGACTGTCTGGAAGCTTGGTCTATATTGTGTGTCACTACTGGTTGTCTTATTTTGTAGGAACTTGGTCGTTCTTTATGTGCTAGACTGGAATAAGAATTGCTCACATTCGAAAGTGTTTTGACAGCTGAGACGTTTAAGAAAACCGATCAGGAATATCTCAAGGCTGACAACAACCAACACCGGGATGCAGGATCAACTGCCTCCACGGCTATTTTGGTGGGAGATCGTTTGCTCGTTGCTAATGTAGGCGATTCAAGGGCTGTTATTTGCATCGCAGGACGAGGTGATAAGATGGTGTCTCTGTAGCTTGAACTATTATTCTTTAACACCAAACCATCCAGGAGTTAGCCATTTTGAATCTTGGATTATATTGACTTCTTTTGTGTGTGCTCTTGAATTTTTTTCGAGATCAAAGGCGTCTTCAATTGTGAATTTCTCGTTACAGTCTGCAATTTCCGAAGTTCGTCAATGAATAAATGGTATATGGTATTCTCTGAACATGAAGTAGCTTCCCTCATGCAATGACGCTATTAGTTCTGATTGCGTGGGTTTCAGCGATTGCTCTCTCCATTGACCACAAACCAAATCGATCTGATGAACGACAACGCATTGAAAAGGCTGGAGGAGTAGTCATGTGGTCTGGTGAGCATCTCATGTTGTATTCTTTCTCACCAAGTGTTCTATTCGTGAGGTCGCAACGTCATGTGATCAATTTATTACGAATGGTTTCCAAATGTTTGATGTGTCAAACTATAAGGTTCTTTTTCCAATTATTATAATGAGTGATTCCGCGCCTCTTTTATACTGTTTGGTGAGCTGCTCAATCCTTTTCTAAAGTATCATTCTCTATCGTTTTATTTTATTTTATTTTATTTATTTATTTCATCTATCTGTTTGAGGAGCACTGTCTTAGTGATAAGTTCGATTATGCAGGTACTTGGCGTGTAGGTGGCGTTCTTGCTGTGTCTCGGGCATTTGGTGATCGGCTGCTGAAAAAATATGTTGTTGCCGAACCAGAAATTCAGGTTAGCTCATCGTTTCTGCCCTCTTAGCACAATAATTAACTTGAATTTCAGAGTTATTAGTGGATGTATGCTGAAGATATCTTTGCTTCTGATTTTTTTGTTTCCTGTGCAGGAAGAGCCCATAACCAGTGATGTTGAGTTTTTGGTGATCGCAAGTGACGGTCTATGGGATGTTGTATCAAACCAGGTTTATTTCAAGATCTTTAATCGTTTTGCCACCATTTGTGTTTTATATGGAATGATTGGATAAAATGATTGTATCTGTGGAAGTCCGATTCTGAACTGCTGCCTGTTGAGCAATCAAAAAGTAGGTTTTCCTCTACACTTACGAGCTTCTGTGGGGCTGTTGACAGGATGCTGTTACAATGGTACAGAATATTCCAGATCCTGCAGAAGCCGCCAAGACCTTGACAGAGGAAGCCTATAAGAAAGGAAGCGCAGATAATATTACCTGCGTCGTAATCCGTTTCCACCACATTCATTAGGACTGTGTCCATATTTGTGCCCTTAATCTTCGAGCCATTCAGTAGTTTTTCGCATCAGTAGACCTGGCGAGACTAACTTGAAGTGTTCTAACCAAGCCTGTGAATATGATGGCGTAGAGCACCAAGATATGCTCTGGTTGGTAAAGTGGAGCATAATTTACACGCTTGAAGCATGGTATAATTCACCAATTAAAATTAATCAGCACAGTTAATGCATGATGTACAGGTGCTCAGTTAGAACAATCTAGGGTTATTACAATTGCAGGTCTTCTCTCAGATCCTTCATTTGACATAGTTGCTTTTCTTTTTACTGGTTTTGAACAGTTTTTCCTGCTGGGTTGGCTAGTGTATTTTATCTCTCTCTCTCTCGCTCTATATATATATATATATATACAAACCAAATAAGGTTTGTTAGTTAAGGACGAGCAGATGCTGGCAGAATTGGTTTTTGAATTAGCAGATGCTATGTCTTCCTATTCTGCTACTAAAATGTCAACATTGAAACTGAAATATTCTTTTGACTTGAAACTCCTCAACAAAAGCTTGAACACAAAAGTTTGAAAACAAAAGTTTTTGACTTGAAACTCCTCAACAAAATCTTGAAAACAAAAGTTTTTTTTTCTTTGTTATTGAACACCTATTTACTTAACTTTCCTTCCGCTTATTATCAGAAACCAGAAACCTTTTTTTGAAGATAATAGTTTGATTGGTACGAGATTTGTACTTCTTTATTCAAGTCCACCCAAGTTGAATTATTTTTTTTTTTGTTAAAACCACTGTTTATAATTTTTTAATTTTCGTTACATAAATTTATTGATTTCAAGCAAGCAATAGATTTTATGTGTTCGTTCAAAGATCTCCGTGCAATTGTAGAATTGCACATTTGTAACTGCACCAAACAACTTGAACTTCTACGTTCGTCTCCTTTGCAGAATTTGAAATATTGAACACAACATTACTCTACGAAAAATGTATTTGTACTTCCATGTTCGACCTATGAATCATTAAATCTACTAAACATTAAATTTATTGATTGAATAAGTAGCAAAAAGATCCTTAATAATAAGGTGGTTGATTTTAGGTTGTAGGTTATCCATTTTGAAATGATCACTTCTGAATCTTGTTGAAAATTTTCATGCCTACTAGGTTTTCTGTGCTAAATAAATTAATAAAGAAACAAAAAGAAAGTGTTACTATGCAAATGCAAGTACAAATAATACTTTTTAAAAGGTGCCACACCATTATTTAGAATAATATTCCATCTACCAATGAACAATCTTATTTCAAATAGAAAAAAACGAAAATAATAATGTCTATCAATTGAGCTGAACTACAAGAGATATAATGATAAGATTGAGGATAGCTTCAATCTTGCCTCCATATATTCTAGCTACCAAGAATGCATTGTAGAAACTTTCTAAAATCCATGAGGCTTGTGGTCCAAGTGTTTAAATTGGAGGTGGCTTCCATTCCAATGTTTTATAATGAGGAAGCTAACAAAACAAGTTCTAACATCTATGCGGTTTGTTTAAAAGAATTTTAGTATTTAATTTGCATCTAGGAAGCTTCTTTGATATTTCTTGAAGAAGATATAATCTATGTAAAATAAATTTTACAACTTCTACTTGCTTCTATCAACTAAAATAACAAAAAAATATTCTTATAATATAACAAATTATTATAATTAGATGTTTTAATTATAAAAAATTATTAATGTTAAGATAATCCAAGGCTTATATCTAATTCTCTTAAATTAATTAGATTCTTAATCTAATTACACCAATAAAATTTCAATTTAAAGATATTTTATTTTTATCTAATTTAAATAACTTCTTCAATTAAAAATTAAAATAATTAAAAAATATTATCTATTTAATTATTTAATTATTTATTTTTAAAAAATAAAAAATCAAAATTATATCATATATTAAAAATATTTTACTATTTTTTCATTTACCATTTAAATAATTTTTTTATTAAAATAAATAAATTTTTATTTGACTTGTATCAAAAGTATGTAAATATATAATTTTAAGATTTGATTTTTAAACATAAAAAATTTAATAGATAGTATGGATAGCTGATTTGATTCTACAATATAAGTTTTAATCATTTTTTTAAAAATTTTACTTTTTAGATTTTTATATAAAAAATTCCAAATTCTTAAATTTAATTAATTTTTATATTTATATTTTTACTTTGTATTTAATGCATATCTTAATTGATCTTTATATCTACAAGTTAATTTTAAAAGCCTTTAGAATAAAAGACTTACAAATATCTCTTTTCTGGTCAAAATAAGACTTGTTTAAAAGTCTTGCAGTTAGAGATTGTATAAAATATAACAAGCCATGAAATTATCTATCTATATATATATATATATATAATATCAATTAGTATCTTAATTCCAATTTTTCACGAATATACAAATATACTTAAATTAAAAGAGTTAAATAGAAGTAAGTAGAAATAAGTAAATTTGATAATATCTTATAGAAAATCTTCTTAGAATTTTTATAAAAAATGATGTAACTTTATAAGTGTTTATAGGTGATTAGTAGATTGAAAACTCAGCCAATAAGTTGGCCACATGTTGCACACATTGATGACTTATTGTACAAGTTAGCCATAAAGCATACATATAAGATATATGTCTAATAAGTTAGACATGTGTTTTGTAAGTTGAATACATGTTAGAGGTCTAATAGAACATTGCTACATAGCTCCAAGTTAGGTAGTACATATTGAAGTAAAAGTGACACTTTCTTCACTCTTGTCAACAACTTTCTTGTTTTTAGTTTAATTTCAAGAGTCTCTAGTCTTCTTGTCTTTTGCAATAGCCATTTTAGTCGTATTATCTTTAAGTGATTATCTACTCTTTTCTAATGACACAAGAGTATATTGATTTTTTGGTTCTTTATGATCTATATCCTAGATATATTAATAATAATAATAATAAATAAAAAAATTTATACATTATATATTAAGTTGAACCTATAATAATTTTTAAAATATAATAATATTTAATTCATCTTAAAGATTATATTTTACTTCATTTTTTTTTTCTTTTAGAACTTCTTTAAAAATATAAAGCTAATTGAAAGATTCTTTATATATACGAATTAAGATGAGAAGCCATAATTTTTTAAAATCTTACAATTTGTTGAAATAAAGAATGCATATTAAGTTAAAATTGTATTTAAGAAAATCATTTCAAAGGTGGAATAATTTTTTTTTTATATAATATAAATAATATTATTTTCTAGAATTTATATTGAATTCATCTTAAGGAGATATTATCTACTGAATTCATCTTAAGGAGATATTGAATTCATCTTAAGGAGATATTATGTAATTTAAAAAATTATGTTAAAAAAGCCTTAATTATTTTATACAAAATAATAATAAATTATTTTATACTTCTAATAACTGTTAGAATCAAATTATAAGGTGATATATTTAGACTCCTAATAGAATAATAATTTAATTTTTTTATGGTATTTAATTTATTTTATATTATATCGAATTATAAAAGCTTTAAAATAAAATTTCTTTACTAAGTAAAAGATTAATTTAAAGCTTTTGAAGGATAGCCTTTAAAAGTGGACTACTAACTATAAAGACCTTGTCAATGAGAATTTTTCATATTAATCAATTAAAAAATAATTAATTATAAAAACTCATATATACATTCTTTTAATCAAATTAAAAATAATAAGTTGGATACAACTAAGACTAAATATAAGTAATATGAGATTAGAAGAAAAAGTCATCTATTTATTTGAAAAAAAATGTGATTCTCTCATAGAATATCTCATGTCACTTAATAGAGATTCACCTTCATGTTTTATAAGATCTCTTGCATGATTTTTTTTTAAAGCTTGTCTCTTCACATTCAAAATGTTAAAGATGATAATAATGAGTAGTATACATTGTATTTATCATGGCTTTTATCCAATATTCATATTCAATACTCATGTCCAAGATTTTATACATGAAGAATACTCCTTGCAATTTCCACAATAGTGTGATTTGTTCTTTCAACACTCCATTTTGTTGTAGGGTATAAGGAATAGAGTTTGTCTTGCAATGCCTTGATTTTTTTAAGAATCTATCAAAATACTTTGACATATACTTATCTCCATTTCTTGAATAAAATACTTTGATCTTATATTTATATTTCTTCTTTATTAATACATTAAACTCCTTAAACCTTAAAAAATACTCATTTTTGGCTTTAATGATGTAAATCCATAAGTTTTTTGAAAAATTATTAATAAATATGAAAAAAAATCTTATTCGTCTAATTCATGGTATCTTCATTGGTCCACAAACATCAAAATAGATAATTTCTAATAATTTGCTAGTACTTGTTGCAACTCCATTTGAGAAATGAAGCCTTTTGTTGTTTGTCTTGGCTATTACCTTTATAAATAAGTGTCATGGCATTGTGGCTAAATTCACCAAGATCTAAGCTACTTACCATAGATTGGAGCTTCTTCATGCTTTTGGCATTCAAATGATGAAGTTATTGATGTTATATTCCAAACTTATCTTGATCTTGTAGAAATTCAATAAATTTTGGTATTTCAATTCCATTGACCTTCTTATAATTAAAGAAGTAGAAGTTGCTATCTCTAAAGCCTTTAGCATCATCTTATCTATCCAATATCTTCATAAAACATCCATTCATGTTAAATTGAATCTTACAACTAGATCATATAAGTTTATTCATTGAAAAGAGGTTCTCTTTTATTTTTGTTACATGTAAGATTTTTCTCAATTTGATCTTCTTGATTTGGTCCTTCATATCAATGTCCACTACAATAGAGCTAGATCTGATGGCTTGAACCATGCTATTGTGTCCCAACCAAACTTTTATTGTTGAAATTATTTCATAAGTATAAATAAATACTTGTATAATGTCATATACTTAGTAGTATTTGAATTTATAATCTACTTGAATATGGCACCCATAGAGGCTCCTTCACTTAACATGAAAGTATAATTATTTCCACAAAAAATATCATGAGTATTATTTGTATTTTTCCTATATCCTTTCTTAATTTTTTAGTAATTTTTTATAAAATGACATAATTTTTGATAAATATAGTAATTTTTTATATTATTTTTAAAATTATAATGTTGGTAAAAATAGCTATCTATTCCTTGTCTTATGAATAGAGCCAAATCTTCACTTTGAAGGACCTTTTTTTCTTCTCCTTGATCACTTTATGAATAAGTCTTAACGTGACATAATTCATGATAAGTTCTTTCATATTAATAGACTCAAATACTACAATAAGGTAGTTATAGGATTCCAAAAGACTCATAAGTAATGTCAATACAATATTTTTATCATCAATTTCTAATTAGTTTGCAAGTACTTTATCTTACTGATATAAACCATGAGGTCATCTCATTCTTCCATCTTTACAATTAAGAACTTCTTCCTTGTCTATAGAATATTGGTAAGGTTTTTATTCTTATAGATGTTGTAACGAGTCTTC